AACAATCACTTTTCTCATGGCTGCTGCAAAATATCTGACAAAAGCAAGTGAGAGAAGGGCGGGCTAATTTGGGCTCGGAGTTTGAAGAGATTGTGTCAGCTCACAGTTTGAGGGACACGATCACCATGGCGGTGCCGGCAGGATGACAGAAACCCCAGGTGGCTGGTGGTACCCTGTCCACGGTCTGGAGGCGGGGAACAGACAGAACTAGGGCTGAGCTCTGAAATCTGAAGTCCTTCCCCCAGTAAGACACCTCCTCTCAGGACACAGCCTCTCCTGAAAGTTCAAGGACATTCCCAAACAGCACTACCAGCAGGGGACCAAACCTTTGAGCCGATGGGAGACTCTAAAGCTTCCAAGCTGTAACTAGACTGCAGTAGTTACCAACGTGATGTCCTCACCGGAATGAAAGCTTTGGCACTTTCCCGGGCTGATGTCTCAGCCTCCAAATAGTCTTTAAAATATTGCAAGAAATGTCTTTTTCTGCGCTGGTGAGGTGGCTTCAGAGGGTAAAGGCACTTGCTCTCCAGCCTTATCTGACTTTCCATGTCCAGGGCCCACATAGCAGAAGAAGACCCCCAACTTCCTCAAGTGTCCACAGAAGCACTGTATCATGGGTTCCCACCCTTGACCACCCACAAATGAATGAACCAATAAATAATTAATGTAAATCAGAAGCAGGGGAAAGTGGTCAATTCTAACTGGTTTGCTAAACTTAATTCAGTAATTATTTGAAAATGGATTTGTCATAGCTGGAAACTTGCTACATGCCTTATTGGCATCAAACCCTAGCGTGTCTATTATCCACCGGCCTGTCTCTTTCAGGATGACTTTTACCACTTAGTCGCTGCTGCAGTGGTCCTCGGCTTCCGCCGAACAGATAAAGTAGCAGTTGGTGTGTTCACCATACCTTTTCAAGGGACATTAATGACAATAGCCACCACTGGAGTGACTGGACTGCTAGGGCCGGAGGAGGTTTCCAGACCACGAGCCTTTTAATTTTAAAGTGAGTCATTCACGAGCAAACTGGAAGTTGGTCCACTTATTGGAAGCAACACATTTAAGGTTCTCAAACATCTGGAAAGCAGACATCGTGTCCTTGTTTCTCAGGTGAATGACTGAGACACAAGTTAATGCAATTAACTTGTTAATTAACAAGTTAATGCAACGTATCGTGTGACCTCAGGTGGTGGCAAGGCCTGTGCTCTGTGTGCGCATTCTACAGACTGATGGTGTATGTTCTGTGTGCGCATTCTACAGACTGTAGTATGTGTTCTGTATGTCTGTTCTACAGACTGATGGTGTACGTTCTGTGTGCGCATTCTACAGACTGTAGCGTGTGTTCTGTGTGTCTGCTCTTCTACAGACTGCTGCTATACTCACTTAACAAGCTTCCTCACTATCTTCAGAACTCAGTCATCTGTACTCCGGAGCTGCTGTGAGAAAAACCATTTTGTAGTCTTCAGCTCTTTGTTCCAACTTAGAAATTATGAATAATCCTTATCCTTAATTTTTGCTCCGAGTATTAAAACTTAAACACAGGCTGAAGTGAGGCCAGGGGAAGCTGAGTGGGTAAAATGCTTGCTGTACAGGTGTAAGAACCTGAGATCGGATCCCCAGCACACATAGAAATTTTGGCATGGCAGCCTGTGCTTGTAACCTCAGGGTTTGGGGCAAGGGACAAACAGAGGAGACAAGTGAACTCTTGGTCTTGCTAGGGAAACCGCTGAAATAGTGAGCCCTCCCTTTCTGTGAAAGAACCTGTCTGAAAAACTAAGATGGAAACTAATGAAGACTCACAAAGCTGACCTCTGGTCCCTACCAGGCTCACACGCGTGCACACATGTACACACACACACACACACACACACACACACACACACACACAAATAAACGACTGCAATAGAACAGGGCTTTCACTTTCTGTGAATAATTCATAATCAACCTTCGTGAATTATTCTCAACAAGGCTCTCTTGCCTCCCACCAATCAGAGAGAAATGTTTCTGTCAGTCTGGCTCATTTCAAGTACAGCCTCTGTCTCCTATTCCCTGATGACTTTTAAAGCTTCTATGTACCAACAACCTGTGAAAGTCAGACAGATGGGCCTCACCATCACCGGGCCTTTCTTTGGGACACTCTCATTGTTTTGTTTTGTTTTCTACACAAAGTCGTGTGTAGTTAGTAGGTGTGTTCAAGGAGAAGTTCAATGTGAGGTGGAAGATGGAGCAACTTCTTAAGAAGAATGCTTCAAGAATGGATAAATAGATACATATATAGATAATGATAGCTCGCTAGCTAGATGATAGGTATTTAGGTAGGTAGGTAGGTAGGTAGATAATAGAATGTAATAGGTAAACAGATAGATGATAAATATAGATAGATGCTTGATAGGTACATAAATGATAGATAGATAGATAGATAGATAGATAGATAGATAGACAGATAGATAGATAGATGATAGATTATAACCAGACATATCTAATTTAAAGTTCAAGAGACCAAGTTCTATGCTTCTGGGAAAAAAATAAACCCATAAAAATCTTTGCTAGTTATGGTGTTAGTTTAGGCTTGAAAGAAAAACATAAGGCAGAACTCTAAATTGTATCCCCTACTGGTTATTAAAGCAAGGGTGCATCAATGGGGCAGTGTGTTCACCCATCTATCTACCCACCCATACATAATACACCAACTACCCACCCACCCATCCATCTACCATCCATATATCCACCCTTCCATCCGTCTACCCATCCATTCATCTGTCTACCATCCATCTAGCCACCCACCCATCCACCATCCATCTACCTACCCATCCATCTACCCACTTACCCATCCATCCACCCAGCCACCCACCCATTCACCATCTATCCATCATCCACCACCCCACCCACTCACCCATCCACCATCCATCTATCCATCCATCCATTCACCCACCCATCCATCTATCCATCCATCCATCCACCCACCCATCCATCCATCCACCCACCCATCCATCTATCCACCCACCCATCCACTTATCAAATCATCCACCATCCATCCAGTCATCCAACCAGCCAAAGTTAAACTGGGGGCTTGCTCTGTCTCAGTACTGTGCTAGACACTGGGGATATCACAATAGAGATAATGAATTTGGTCTTTTAAAATTGGTAGGTAAGATTAAAGATGAAAGAACCGAAGCTGTCCTTGAACACTGGAGTTACCAAAACAATTATTTTAAGTCTGGCTCCCTAGAAGCAGAGCCCAAGATTATAATTCTTCCTCAAGAAACTGATTGATGCCTACATCGTAGCAAGGAAGCAGGTCAGGTAAGAGTTTCAGGTTCAGCAAGTACATGAGTTCTGTTGAGCAGATGTAGTACAATCTCGCTTTGATTCTGCTAGGAGCTGTGGGGTATACGTGACATTGTATTTGTTGTTCTGTGAAGCAAGAGGGCTAGAATTTCTTTATCCCCGGGAATAAGGTGTAACCTCTCTGGCACCTCTAGTGTATTGGCACCAATCAGGTGAGGATAACGTTTTGTAAAAACCAAACCAAACCAAGAAGGTGATGATTCATTAGCTTCCAGGACTCAGCAACTGGGAGCTGCATGCATCTTCTGAGAAGGTCCAGCGGAAGACACCAGAAGTATCAGAAGCACACGGGTTTCTTGCTACTTATGAGAGAGCCTTAGCTATCATTTACAGATAGAACCCAATAGAATGGTGTGTTTGTTCCAGTGCTGCAAGAATCCACCATTTCTTGGATGTACTTCAGCTGACATGGATGGCTTGTGTTGAGGACCCATGTGGTATGGAAAATGGGTGACTAGTCACATGGAATCACACCCCGTGTGGGGAGACTCTCAGGTTGTTACGCTGTTCCTGCAGGGTCTGAGACTGTGTGTCAGGAAGCAGATGTGACCTGTCATCCTACGGGGTATTCATCAGGAAGTGCCAATAGGATACGGTGGGGAAGGGAGAGCTGGAAATAGGAGCAGGTGGAGGGATGCTGACCGTTGTTGGGGGCTCTGGGAACAAACGGCTTGCCAGAGCTGGGCTGGCTTGGGTTGTGATGATCTGGTGTTTGTATCTCTTTCCTCCGACATTAAACAGCCTCGAGAAGGGCACAAGCTTAGATGAGGTGGCTCCCCGAAGCTGAGGTCACCCCTGCAAGGGCAGCTAGAGGCTCTTTGCTGGCTGTTCCCTGTTCCCCAGCTGCCGCTGGCCAGCAGATCCTCTCTGGAATGAAAGTCAGTGACAAACGACTTGTAGGGTCATTTTGCACTCACTGCCATTTCCTGGGATCTGCTCCCCAATCAAACTTGCTTTCACTTTGTGAGAAGTGTGGGGAGATGGGAACATGTTGAAAAACCTACAGTTTAATTAATGCTTTTGTATTTAAGGTTAATTCTGGACTTTCATCGGGGATCTGTCTTCACCTAAAACTAGACAATTCTGTTTTGTGATTTCTCTTTATTTAATAACAGGTACTGTTCCAGATGTTATACATGTGTTACCTTATTTAATGCTTACAAAAGTCATATGAGGTAGATAATATTACCCCCTACTTCACAGACAAGGAAGTTCCAAACTGGTGAAGTTTGAAATGTCTGCCCCGTGGAACTACATAGCCTGTGTTTGAGCCAAATCTGACCCTGAATCTCAAAACGTTAACCATGCCACTAAGACCAACTATGACAATGTTCTTACTTCCCTTTAATCCCAGTGAATTCATTCATTCATCTGTGTTTCATGGGCATATCTTATCCAGGCCCTGTCCTAGCTTGAGAGTCAACAGAGAAACCTCTGAGAATGACCATGTACCAAGGCATTGCATGTTACCCCCATTTATGAGTGCAATGTTTATGCTTTTATGGAGCATTGAAATTTTTAATTAAGAAAAGTCTCTGAAGAGGGCCTTACATGTGTGAGTCCCCTTCCTGTCTGCGTCACCTCAAGACAAATGGGATGAACTCTGGGTATTTGCCAGGAACTGAATTCACTGTTTTCAACCTTTTTCACAGGCTAAAAGGGATGCCAAGAGAATGTCTGCAAAAGAAGTCACTATTAACGTTACAGAGAATATCCGACAGATGGACAGAAGTAAAAGAATCCCAAAGAACTGCATCGATTAGCAGTGCCTGGATGTAGGAGCAGATGAACTCTTTGTGGAGCCTAATCAAGAATCTTAAGAAAGAAGTGTCACTTGCTAAACATGGCTGCCTCTGCATATCTGTAGCGGTGGCTTGACCAGGCAACACACAGCCACCCGTGCTGTGAGGACCTTCTCAGCTTCCTGCTTATCACGTGCAAAAAAAAAAAAAAAAGAAAAAAAGAAAAAAAAGAAAGTATGGAAAAGTTCTGAAATATGTTCTGAAGCTGCCAAAAATGTGGTTTGTTTTTCCCCATTGCAGCTTCTGCAGCCTGGTTAGCCATGGTAGCCATGGTGAAATTCACGGGTCTGTGAGTGACACAGACAAAGAGGAGTGAATTTCCTGGGGCGAGGATCACCAGGTAGTGTGAAGCTCGCACACAGCGTGTGGTCTTCCACAGGCCCCTTCTTTCCTCCTTTGTAAGAACAGCTATCACAAAACCTACTGTTTCCACCGTGGAGTTGGCTCTCATCCAACTCTAACCCAGAAACAGAAAACCCAAAAAAAAAAAACCCAGAAAAACTCAGTTTGAGATAGATCGATCCCAGTGGCACACGTCGATGTCACCAGGGCCCGCAGAGTATCTGTGAGAGGTGTCCAGGACAGTCACACCGGCTTGTACCTGGAAAGGCCTCCCAGGGTGGCATCTGGACACTGGCCTCCAAATCAGAATATGGCAATGTCTGTGGCCATCGCATCTAACCTGCTGGCCCTCTGGGATCTAATTACATGTGGCTTTTCCTCATAGCTTTCTGGTTCCCTTTTATTCTCATGACCTCCAGTCAGGTCACGCACAGTTGTAATCCAAGACTGGATACCGCTCATGGGAGGGAAGTGACTTAGGAAGACAGGGTGGGGCACGTGATGCCCCCGTGACTTTTCTGCATACAGCCCCAAGGACTAAGGTTTCTGCAAAATAGTTGGTTTTGGAAGCCAGAACCTGGCTGACGTATATTCATGTTGACATATGACAACAGGCAGCCAAGTGAAATGATGTTTGGAGAGGAATATTTTGTCTAGCATTTTGAAATACATCTTCCTGCAAAGGATAACGTAGCACGAGTTTGAGAGGCCTGTTAACGTGCTTGGGCTTAGGCAAGGAGTAGTCTGAGACGCATTAAACTGTACCAACAAACTGCACATCAGCAGCCGTAGCAGCCTGCTGACGTGTTTATACGGCGCAGGCCAAGAGAAGTAGCCTCGGCAGACTAAAATGAGGGTGTCCACTCCTTTCTCCGGTATTATTTCTCCAACCGGGTAGAACGGTAGATTGCATCTTAGTTAGTATTAAACATTCACTGCCAACCTTGTGCCAGCTACGGTAACAGATGTGGGAGAATTTGGAGTCTGGGCAGTCACGACACCACCTTCTGACTCTGTGGGTGAGCTTGATACTCAAGAGACCGAATTGGACCCGACCGCACAGGACCAATTACGGCAATGGAGTCTCAGCTTTGGTTAAAGGTAACTCTGTCAATCACAAGTATAGGTGTTTTCCTGATCTCTGACCATGCCTTTGCTGTATACCCCACAGTTTCCCCAAACCTCTCTCATCTTGACTCCTTGTCAAAGGGCTTTTAGGGAACTTCATGTTCTGACAATTTAACTGATAAAACAGAAGCAAGCCCCATGACTCCCGTGTCCTTGTGGCACTGCTCGGCAGGCGTCCTGCCACCAGGTTGGCAGCGGTGCCATCCTGCGATCTCAAGGGCTTGCTCTCCAGGGCATGCGCGCTGTGTTTTGACATGCTGCTTCCCCAGCTGATGAGCTGTCAGCCACAGGCTGAGGCCAGCTTCTCCTCCCGACTCTGTGTTTGCCTGGGTTCACTGATGCACGTTGTTTGGAATTTACCATCTGCAAAAGTTGCCTCTGCATATAATAGCATCCTCGCTTCAGAGAAGAAGGGCTGCAGGGAGGGCCGATGATCTGGCCACGGCGTTGAGATTTCCATCTGGCAATTTTTAAGACGGGAACTGATTCTTACTATCCTATTGGATAACATTTTCCATTTCGGAGTTTGTGTCAATAAAGTCATTAATTTCAAACATGTGTGGGTTGTTACGGACTCTTTACTGGAAGCTTAAGTCTGTATGCGCAGCTGCGTAGGATTTTTCTTTTAAACAAAGGTGTTTTACAGAAGTGATCTCTCTGTGCGTCCTTCAAACAGCCTCGTGCATTAGGGGGAAAGGGGAATGCCACCAGCTCCATTACACCTGCAGAGGTGTTTATAGGCATTGCCTGGGGTGCCAAACAGGAAAGCCAACCACAAGGTCAGTGCTTTCCCGTCCATTCCTGGTGCCTGTCTCAGAATGTCCAGCCTAGCCGTAAGACTCAGTCATTTAGAGGGGGAGCTGTCGTGTCTCCTGAAACTGAGCCATACCCAGCTTATGAGGACATGGGATGATTGGAGAGGGCCAAAATTAGAAAGCCGGGTCTAGCCTGAGCTCACCACAGCCTTCTGGACAGGGTGAGCCTGACCTGGCATGAGAAGGCACTCTGCATTAAGGTCGGAAAGCAAATTGATAGTTCAGGGAAGTCAGAAAGTGTACTTCTTGTAATAACTGCCTAATGCATACACATACTATATTACGTAGAGAAGAGTGGGAGGTGAGGGTTCCCTAGGTTGCTGCCAATGCCCTGAACTCATGGCGTGTGGCGTTGGCAGACTGCTCCTCCAGTTGCCCATCTCCACAGTGCTGCGGGCACCCAGTCCTAATTGTGCTGTGTTGAAGATCTACTAAGCGCCATTGTGGCCACTCCCCAATGTCACAGAAATACCTCCCCTCCGTATCTACTCTCTGAGCAGGGTTCCTAAGGAGGGGCTCTGCTGCAGACATCTGGTGAAGGGTTTATTCAGCTGTCATTCTGTACAAATTCTGGAATCCCATGGACGTGCTCCAGCAGGCATCCCTCATCGGGAGCACCATGCACATTCTCTCCTTCTCAGCTACCAGGATGCCCGTTTAGAGTAAAGATGGCACTTGTAAGTCTCCCTTTCTGCCTGCTGCTTAGAATATGGAGGTAAGAGCTGGAGCAGTGTTGGTCCCCTGGGCTGTCAGGTGGCCTTGGAAGTGGAAGTTAGGCCACCGAGTAACACATTAGCCCGGGATCCTGGTTCCATGCAGCCTCCCTGAGCCTTGAGCTGTACATACTTGACTGTGTGTCACCATGAAATATGTGTTTGCTTCATTTAATCTGCTCTTGCCGGCTGTGATTCATCAGCAAACCTAATTTAAATTGGCAGAGAAAATTTCATCTTCTTTAGAAGAACCGGAAGGTCTCTGCCGCTGAGTCCCTGGGCGCCAAGATTTCTGGACCTCAAGTCTACATGAGCTATAACTGGTGAGTCCGATGGTGAGGGTCCCACCGTGACTCATGTGACTTACACATCATAACTTTGAGTTTGTGTGTGGCTGAGGTGTACGACTTTGCAACCCCTACTCCAATACCTGCTTTTCTTGTTCTTTTAAGGTCATTCAAATGCAGATTCTCTCATCCTTTCCACAAGTCTGAGAAGCAGCTAATTTTGGAACATTTCCCGAGGAGGTAAATTACAAATATGACCCAAGAGCTAAAATTATAAATTTGCTCACTTTCATATACTATATTTACTAAAAATCTTTACTGTACCAGAAATAGGAAATTATTGCAATCACCTATTTGCTGCTTTTGTTTCTACTATATTAGCTCCACAAAGTCAGGGGCCATGTCTGTTTTATTTCCAATTTCTAGCACATTGAAACTTTTCCATAAATATAGACTGCGTTTTGATCTTATCCCCCCGCCCAATCTCTTGGATCCCTTTTCCACCCCCGCTGGCCTCTTCTTCACAACTAATCCCCTCCTCGGTTCTCCATGAAACATTACTTTAATGAGATTCTTTGTACAGCCCTCTCCTGGCCCTGTCTCGGAAGATAGGAGGGTTCTTTGCATCAGTATAGAGAAAACTGCTTCCCTGGGCTTTATCTCTGGCTCTCAGGAGGGAAAATAGCCAGAGCTTTCCTCTTGGAACATTTTCTAGAGTGTCGTTAGCTCAATCCTTCTGCCAATCTGACATCTTTGTGGCCGCAGGCTCCATGACTCTCCCGTGACAATTTGGCCAAGTTATTAAAACAGGAAATGCCTACATCTTTCAACAATTCCGTTTTGAACTCTAGGTGTTGTGGACTGAACTGCATACCCTCCAAACTCCCATGCCGACGTCCTAAACCAGAGTGTCCAGAGAGTGACTTTATTTGGAGATGGGTGTTTAAAGAGCCCACAGAGACAAATGTCATGGGGTGGGCCCTAACCTAATGTAACCTTGGTCCTTCTACAAAGGAGAGGTCAGGACACACAGACACATGGAGGGGGAACCCCTGTGAGATGCCAGAGGAAGATGTCCACATACAGACCAAGGTTCCCCCAGTCTCGGACATTAAGACCCGGTTATGAGAACAACAGTGTCCTGTTAGGTCACCAGGGCTGTGGGACTCAATGAAGGCATCCTTAGTGAGCTGGTACAACACCATAGAAAAATACTTGGATATTTCCAGAATTTGGGTGTATGGGCCACTTCTCAGTCTTTTGGAACCCGGATTCAAAGCAGTAAGAGTAAGGGGACAGGGGGACACAGCTCCACGGGAAATGCCGTGCCATCTACTTCCCGTTAACCCTTTGAGCTCCCCAGGGATCTGCCAACTGGTCGACCACCGGCCTTCCTTGGCTAGAGGGCTTTCTCTAATCCCTTCCAGGACATTACTGCTATGGATGCTCAGTCACTTCCTTGCCCATCCCAGCATCCTTCCCTAACCGACTGATTCTGGAAGCCACTCAGCTTTAGGTGGGTAATGCTAAGACAGGAGTTTTGTGTGAGCTCCTAGAATTTTCCCCTGATGTGTTCATTCCAGTTACCCAGCAGGTAGCGAGTTTAACAAGACACCCTTTATTGCATGCTCCTCTGATTGGTCTCCGGGGCAGGTACACTGCTGGAGCTGCAGGCTTCAAGATGAGCACCGTTCTTTCTCCTGTCACACCATAGATTTCAAGGACTTGGTTTCTTCTGCCACTTTCTCCTGTGCATGCTCAGAATATCAGAAAAGTCTTCGGTTGTCAGTGTGCCTCCCTTGGCTTCCTGGAAACTCTAAATGTTTTGCTTGAGTACGGCACCACAGCAAGTTGATTTTATGGCAAAACAAACAGGTAAGTGTTCTGTTTTACTTTAGAGACACAAGAAATGCCGTGGAAAGAATCCCCCCAGAAATGCCTTGGCGGAAGTCAGTAGCCCTGCGAGTTCGTGAGACGGGCTGGAGTAGAACAAGTCTGTAGAATATTAGAAGCAGTGACAACGGAGGGAACAAGCATGCATCGTGTTTAAAGGCACCTGGCGCTAAAACAAGACACCCGTGACAACAGAAAACCGCTTGCTAAGATAAACGGCGGGACCAGGATTTTGCGATCCACACAACAGAGCAGAGTCGGACCAAATTTGATAACCGCTCATACTTGCTTTTGACAAACTTATTTGCCCTTTGAACTCGTTCTGCCCTTGGAACCTCCCTATGAGAACGTGTGTATCACACACTACCTCCTATGAAGACTCCACAGCCCTTTCTGTAACTTTGTCACATGCTGAAAAGATAGCTGAAATTTTGTTTGCCTTTTAAATTTTATTTAATTATCCGAAGGTTGTCTCCTTATGTTTTAATAGACAAAGCGACTGCTGGATGACCTGAGAAGCAAAGAGGTAGCCAGAGGGCCTGTGAAAAGCCGAGATGACACAAGTTTCCCTAGCAGAAGACAGATCCCAGCTTGAAGTCTCCAGCTGTGTGTCCTGGGGCGCATGACGGAGCTCCTGAGACTCCTTCCCTTCAGTGGAGTAACATCATCTTTTGAGGGTGTATTGTAGGATTAAGTGAGATAACAAATGTAGATAATACGGCTCCTGCCACGGGATAATGATCGCTCTGATGTCAGGTACCGTTCTAGGCGCCTTGCACACGTTATCTCTGCTCCATCAACACCCTGCCCAGGTAAGCCTTACCAACCCCGCTTTACATACGAGGAAACATACTGAAAGGCTCCCAGAACCAAATGGTGAGGAAGCCACAGAGCTGGGCTTTGAACTTACGTCTGCCTGTCTGTAGAAAGCTGTGGTCTGGTCTGTCTACTGGGCTCAGGAGAGGTCCATTGCCTGTCTGTCTTGGGGAAAGGCGAGCGGTTTCACAGCTCTTTGATAGCGTCACCCTTGCAACACTTACAGCTTGCCAGGGCTAATCGGGGAGGAAGTATGGCGGCTCACGTCCAAGCCTGCAGAATTTGACCTTCGATTCTCTTGACTCTCCTGAGCAGCAGAGCCCAGCAGTCCTCTGAGTTGTGCCGGGGCCTTAGTCCTCTGATGGTAACACTAATAAATCCGGGGGGCACCTCAGGTTCATTGTGAATCTAAGCCTTATGGAGCTGTCATCGCAGAGGAAGGGGAAGCCTGAGCTAGGTGGGTCCTCCAAGGAGAAATGAAATGCAGACTGCAGTGAAATCTACTTAGAGGGTGAGGCAGGAGGATCATTTGAGTCAATCTGTTCAATACCAGTCTGGGCAGCCTGAGACTAACTCAGTCAAACAAGCCACCATGAGGACATCTTGAGTCAGTCTCTGGGGTTTGAAGGGGCCTCACCACCTTCCTTTGCGGCCATGCGTAAACCGTTTCAGCTCTCTGTATTCTGGTTTGCCTGTGTACACAGTGGGGCTCACAGCACCTCCTGGTTTGGGGGGCACTTAGTAGGGCTACAGACAAAGTGCTCAGCGTTGGTGTTTCTCAGCATGTCGGGATGAAGACAAGACTTAGTGCTGAACTCAGTTTCGTCATGGATGTTCCAGCTCTCAGAGGAACGTGTCCGGAAAGCTGGCTCTCCCTTTAAGCGCTTTGTTCTTGAAGGGCACAAAATGTGTTTTAGCATGAAAAGCAAAACCCAGAGACAGATACAGGGGTTCAACCTGAAAGCAAAACAGCCAAGCCACTATGAGCTCTTACCTCTATGAAATCTTCGAACTGAAAAGAGAGCGAGTTCCTG